GAGCCAACATATCGGTCGTCCTCAGATGCCAAGTCATTCAATAGCCTAACAGCCAGTCTCCTCCTGATCATAACATCTCAAGGCGGACTTCTGGAACCACAAATGGTCAACTTGGAAGGGTATACAAACCCTCTGATCCAAATATCCCATTTTTCCAGGAGAAAGAACCAGTGATAAGAAGTGACTTATCATAGGTCAGGCAATGAATGCCTGTCTGAAAAAAAGTTAAAGCAAACGTCTCCTCACTTCTGTGGAGGGTTTCTTTGCTATAATTTCATTAAGAAGGTGTCTGGTCAGCTAAGCAATAATTCTTAGGATCAATCAGCTCTAGGCTACATGGATGTATTTCCCTTCCTATAAGCAGGGAGCAAGAAATATCTTTTCACCTCTGAACTTTCTCAGGGGATAGTCAGCTGATCAAAGTAAAACAAAAGGAGGGGCTGTAGGGCTGTAAACATATGTCCCCAACCTGCCTCTGGCACTGAAGTGTTACTCTGTATTATCTTGAGGCCAAGACACTTTAAATTGGAGCCTAACACTAGAATCTTCAAGCACTTGAACCATGAGGACATGAACTGCCTGATTAGCCCCTATAAGACACTGGGGTTCAAATAAAAATGTCAGACATTAAGGGCATTGGTCTAAGCAGGGACTGAACTGGGCAGGGTGGGTGGGGCTCTCGTTTTCAAAGTTTGCATGAAGGCACTTGACATTAACAGATCCCATTTATTTTTGAGCATATATGGCCTCTCCAACAGCCTGAGAAATCTTAAGAGGACACAAAATGTATCCATTTCTTTTATAACCCACCAATGTGAGACACAAAGTAAGTGCTAAATAATCCTTCTTGCATGAAGGTGTAAAATAATGTATTCTTCTTCTAGTCTTTAAGAAGTAGCCCTCTTTAGATTGGCAAAAAGTAAGAAATATGAATTGCCTAACTCACTGTGAAGGTAAGTAAAACTTTTCTTACAATAACAGCTAGAATCAATCTCCAGGATTATTGAATCGAATCTTCTTGCATTATATACAAGGAAGTAGAAGTCTACGGAGGTGAACCTATTTGCTACCTTTGCACACACCTCAAGACCAAGCCAGGATGAAGTCCTAGTCTACATGAACCACCAGTACCCCAAGAAGTCTCCAAGAGCTCCACCATATCACAGAGAGAAGCATTTGAAGCGACTGGCCCAGCTGTCCAGGCTCACAGCAGAGACCATCAGAACCAACACACTAGGCCTCACACCACCATCTTCTTGACTACCATTCAAAAACCCCAAGGTCCCTCTGCATCCTGTTCTGTGTGTTCAGTCTGACCCACCTCCTCTCCTGCCCCTCCGTTTCAAGCCCTCCCATTGTCCCTTGGTCAGTGCAGACTCCTCTCCACCCTCCATCCTTTCTCAGAATATTCTCCTTATCCCTTGTCTTAACTAGAATCCATGTCCCCTGAGAACTGCCTGGAGACTGTTCACATGGAGGAGGCTTCAGTTTTCTCACTTGGTCAGAACGTCCTGCCTGATTCTTGTTGCCACTTCTAGTCCAGCACTGCCCACACTTCCTGTGAAAACTACAGATCCCTTGAGCCTCACGTCATGCAAATATACCACACTTGCTCTCTAATTGTTATGGTCGGTCATCTCCCAGCCTCCTGGTCATTTCCAGAAGACTTTAGCCCCACGTCCAGTCTGCCTCCAGACCTTACTGCTATCATAATTTTCATGGCTCACGAATGTGAAGGAATCACCAGACACCCTGGGCTCTCAGACCCTAGAGCTCCTCCTATCTAGGAATATGCTGTCAGGACTCAAGAATATCAGCTTTAGCACAAGAAACAACAAGCTCTCCTATTTCACTAGTCATGAAATGGTAAGTGCTAAAACAGAAATATAAAGTACTCAGGAAACAAAGCGAAGGGTTTTATTAATTCTGTCTCAAGGAGCTGAGAAAGTGAGTAAGGGAGTGGCTGGCATTTGTCAGAGACCTTGAAAGATGAGTGTAAGTGATGAGATGGTAGAAGGAACAGCACAAGCCAAGGCATAAAACAACATCAAGGTTAGAAACAATAACCTGCCTGGTACAGCTAAGAAATCAAGGTGTGCTGGGAAAACTGAAAAGAGACAGTGAAGGTACAGGGCTAGGCCAGATTGAGAAGCGTGTTAAATATGAAGCCAAGAAATAGTAAAGGTTTGAAGACTTATGTGCTCAGATCTGTGTTTCTAACCTAATGAACGCACACTGTAATAAGTAGTTCAAAAATTATAGAAACAAAGTATGCTTGGATTATGGGCAAGGAAGAGGGTAATTCCAATTCAGTATTCTTGGCAGAAGGTGAAGTTCAAGATGCAATAAAAAAAAAACCTGTTTTTACTTCTAGTAATAACTTTCAACTTTGGTCAGCTTTCAATGCTAAAATAGGAGGGTAGGTCACTGTGGTTCAGACTGATGAGAAGCAAACACTGAGCCATTTCTGGGTGCAGCCCTGGGCTGTAACTTCCCATGGCTCTCACCCAGTCACAGGGAGTCCCTTGGACACTTGGAAGGCTCAAATCTAGAATGTTCTGGATTTCTCTAAGCACCACAAAAGACCTTTGAATTTTTCAAGAAGACCTGAATCGGAATCCACTGACTTGGTTTATTTTCCACTGTAGTGGGAGGCTGCCTCTCCCTCAAGACTCAAGTAGAACCTCACGGACAATGTCAAAGCCCCAAATAATCTGAGAACTGAATGGTTTGTTCAGAATGCGCATTTGCTGCTCTGAAATGACCTGTAAAGAACTTTCTGAGATGAAAGGGGATTTGTATGTCTTACAGAAATCAGACTTACCTTGATGTAATTTTGTTCTTACTATTTGTACTTGAACTCTGACATACAAACCACAATTCTGCATTTTTATGGTTTCTGGGTAAAAATATGAGCCTATGAGACTGATAACTCTGGTTGAATTGGTATTCAGTTCAAACATTAACACTGCTTCTTATTTCACTGAGGTGTTCAGTTTGACTAAAAAACCTTTTGAATAAAATCCAGTTATCTTGTGTCAGTATCCTTTGGGGACTCAGGAAAAGAATGGAGTATAATTTTATTGTAACTCATTCTTGTGATAGGATTAAAATTTCCTGTGTCTGTTTTTTCTTGAAAATATAGATGTCCCCATTCTCTTGGCTTCAGATGGTACTACTTATTTCCTTAATAGGAAATGTACTATGATACCCCTAAGGGATCGCTCACATTTGCCTGAGATGACCTCATGAATCTTTGGGAACTAATCTGTAGCTATACAATACAAATACATCTTAATTCAGAAATCAAAACAATTATTTTGCCTTATAAGGCCAATATGAACTGGAATTTTAACATAAAAATTACAAAATGGCTACTGAGATGGTTTTTCCACTTTCACATCATTATATCACTAATGAGATTAATATTAATTTGAGAAATGCATCAGTATGTATATTTCTACATACAGACATCAACAGTACATTTTGTTGTGGATAAATCAATCACTGCACTTTATATGCATGTGGATTTATTTAAATCAACTGTGTTTCAATGAAACCTATAAAAGGACATGCACATTTTCTCATTTTGAAGCTCTCAAAAAATCATCTCTTCTGGAAGATTTGCAATTATGTATATCTTGAATTACATTTAATTGCAACTTGGCATTAGATTATAGGGAAAGACACAGCACAAGTGAACTGAAGTCTCCATAGGGACTTCTGTGTTTGCTTACAGACTTCAAGTCTGTCGATTTGAAATTCCTGACAATTCAGATTTGAAGGCCTTTTAGACCTTATAGTATTTGTCTTCAGACAAAATTTAGCACATTTCCCTGCATACTGGCCCATGGGAAATATGTAAGTGCATTTTCCCATAAGGCCACGGGGCAGTGCTCCAGCTATCACAGTGTGGCACATCTGACAGTCATTGTCTGCCTTCCGTGCCAACTCATGTCTGCTTTATCTCCAATCCATCTCTGTATAAAGGGATGTTTGCAAGGCCTTGAGACCATACGAGTCACCTCAGACGGAATAATAATTGTTCTTGTAGCAGCAGCTAGGGTATTTCATGGACATATTGGGTTGGCAGAAAAGTGAATCAATTTTAAAGAGTGTGTAGCAGTAGATAAAGCTCAGGTCCCCATGGTCTTATCTGATGGTTTAGTTTGTTTTTCAAAACTGAGGTGCCCAGAGGTATGAGTGCTCTATTTTAAGCAGACTGAAGGTGCTGCCAAGTAGCTGAAAGGTCATCAGTAGACGCTGCTGTGCATCTGACTGAATTGAAAGTTTGCACCATGCAACTGTTTCTGGCGTAAATAGGGTTATTGTTTCAGAGGATTCCAGAACAAAATGCAAACTTTGCTTCCCCAAGGTTATGCATCTACTGGAATCAAGAGACTGATAGTTATCTCAATCTCTCTTATTATATTTTTTTCTTTTCTGAGCATCAACATAACACTCAACTTGGAACTGGGCACTAATCGGAGAACACAGAACACAAACGAAGTACGGACAGATGTTGATTCCTCGAAGCAACATCACGGTAGTGGTCAGCAAATATGGGAATTGAGGCTTCCAAATAAAACATAAAAGGTATGATCTCTTTTGTTTCTAAATGCATTCCTGGGGGTTAGGTGAATCAAATAGGCTTTGTCAGACAAAGGGAGATTTAAAAGTCCAAGGAAAGTCTCGTCAAGGATTATCAGCGGAAGTTGAGTGAAAAACTTTTTCCTATTGTGTAGAAATACACTGAAACAGGGGAAATAGAAATGGAAAAAAAAAAAAGAATGATGAAACTTAATCTCTTAATTGGTCTCTCTCTGCACCAATTCCTCCTCCTTACTATTCCCAAAGTTAGCTTCCTGAAACAGAACTGAACGGAATCACTTTTTTGTAAAAAAAAAAAATGCTCAGTGAGTCCCCGTTGCCTATAAAATTCCATAATTTGGGATTCAGAACTCTCACTGTTTGCCTCCAGTCTATTGTGCCAGACTCACCTGTCACTCTCTCCCCAGAAGTCGTCTTTCCAGCTCTTCCTTATACATCTGCAGCTTCCTGTTCAAATCCTTCCTCCTTCAAAAAGCCCGCTTCTGCTCCAGACGGTGAGATTGAAGAGAGCAGAAAGTGTGTCTTAAATTTTTGGACAATGTCTAGGAGCCTTACCTGGTGCAGAGCACCATGCTAAAAGATACTTTGTTTGTCTTATTTAACATTGATAGCGACCCTATAAGGCAGCCCATTTTATAGAGGGGAAAACTGAAGTAGAGAGAGTTCAATTAACTTGCCCAAGGTCATACAGCTAGTAAATGATAGAGCTAAAGACAGATTGTTTTAATTCAAGAGCCTCTGCTCTCAATCTCTTCAGTGGAGTATGACATCTATTCTTATAACCAGCCATCTATCAACAGACAAAATTTTTAGGCACAGTAGATCAAATAATGGTCAATAAAATGTGTTAAACCAGTGCTTCACTCAGTAACACAAAGAAAAGAATAAGAAGATTTAAAGAGAGAGGAAAATATAATACCATGAAACAGGACAAAATATTGACCTCAGAGAAAAGAAATGCAATAAAAGAAAAATACTATCTCCTCAGCAAATTCAGATTGTTGTGTAGTAGATACTGTCCTGTGGGTTAGGAAAGACATCAGAAGGAGGGAATAACCTACCTCAACTGGCTCTGGAAGGAGTTGGGGAGGATGAGGGGAGGCTTCACACTCACCTGTGGAAATCAAGTTCCAATTCAATCTCCAACTATTCGCTGAACCTACATTCTATTAGGTCTTAAGTGAGCATAGTAGATCTAACAATTGTCAGTAAAGAGTTGCAAAGCTGAAGACTTACTAGTTAAAATAAAATCAAAGACAAGTTGAGTGTGACAAGAAATCCATCAAAGCAGTGACAAAACCAAGACAAAAAGTCCAAGTGACAATACAAGGCCAGTGACATGGGCCACCTGAATTGAGAGAAAGAATTTGAGCACTCACTGGGGTAGGGGGGTTGGCTCTTGAAAAGGGGACCAGAGTCAAGCTGAGCAAAATACATAGAGTCTGAGTAAGGAGAGCAAAGTGAGAGGAATTTCTCTATTCAATGCTAAAGAGTGTGAGCCAGGATCTCATAAGGATGTGTCTGTCACAATATTTCCTAAACAATATGCCAGAAAACATAAATCCAGCCAGATGTTTTATGGAAAAAGGGTCAGTGTTTAAGTAAGTCTTGGACAGGCTGAACTAGGCAGTTCCCTTCTACAAACTCTGGCCATCCTGAGGATACTGGGACCTCTGACAGACCCACAGAAGTGGCAGTGCTAACTAGAACTAGGACTAGTTAGTAGCAACAGCAACTTATGTTTATTGAGTTCTGACTATGTGCCACCACTATGCTAAGACCTTACATGGACTCCCTAGTGTAACATTCCTTATGTGATATGTGTATTGCTAGCCCTACTTGACAACTAAGGAAACTAAGGCCAGATAGTAAACCAATCACCCAATGTCACACAGCTACAAAGCAGTAGGACTTAAGATTCTAAATCAAGCACTCTGACCTCAAAGTGTACCCACCCTTAAATGCCACACTATTACTGCATTCCCCCCAAACATTCCTATTTAACTTCCTTTACATGAACCTTTGGAACTTTACCATCCCCACTTTGTTTCTCATTTTTTCCCATACTTCTTTTTGACCTAACCAACCTCCTGTTCAAGTCAGTTTTCTGCATGAAACCTGTTCAGTGAGAGGTATCCTGTCTGACTGCTGTGTTTGGCTGTGGCTTTGGTCTAGTTCTCATCTTAAGTGAAAAGCCAGCCATCCTGATTTACTTACTAAGCAACATCCCACAAATTTGAGAAATATCTTGCTTGCGAAGGACCTAAGCTTCACTCACAGAGCACATCAGCAGAGCCCAAATGTATTTTCCCCTGGCCCCTTCCCACCAACTTTTGCCTCCACTGACTAAAATAAAATGTAAAACTGCCTTTGGCTGGTACATGTATTACCATTTTATTTATAATCTTCCTGCCAGAAAGCTCTCTTGGTTACCGAAGAAAATACCGAAGAAAACTGTCTTACCCATTTTTTGATAGGTATATTTCACAATGAAGCCATTTATAAAATATCTCTATAATATAAAAACATTTCTTTGTGCTGACCAAGGGGGTATACTTTTAAAATGCCTTTCAGGAAGATGCTGACTCTTAGGCAATCCAACACCTAGCCTGTAATATTGGGGGCTTACAGAACAAAGGCCTTGTGAATTCCAAGGTGGATGAAAACTACATTTAGAAACAACATCAGCCCCATCTCATGGAGTATGCATATGACATTTGCATTGCACATCTGAAATTAATTGTAATTCAGAAAAGGTTTTGTTTTGTTTTTTTCCAGGAGAGGCTGGAAATTTCAGCCCAGGACAGACAAAGAGAGTGAATCTCTGTAATAGCTTTGCCTATGGCCCTGCAGGTAATCCCTAAGGAGAAAACTCAATGGCAGCCACCAGGAGATGAGAGTCTTCAGGGACACAGGTCAGGAGCAGAAACTGTTCAGCCTGCAGTCTGAGAGGAGAGAACACAGGGTCACAGGGTTTCCCCAGTGTTCGGTGCCTGCTCCGAACTCCTCTTCCCCGTATCCCAACACTGGATGCTTCTGCGGCATGAACCTTAAAGTTTCTGCCATTCCCTCAATCTCGATCCGTTTGGGTAATTTAAAGAGCAAACACCCCAACTCACCTCGTAATTGACTCCCAACTGATAGAAGGCACTGCCTTTCTGCATTTGCCCAACATGTCATGTAAAAAAGTCAAGCAACGAATTTCTCAGGCCTGCCAAGGGAATGATTAAGCTGGTGAGCCCTCTGAGTTTCTTTTTCCTGTTGACAGCTGGTTTTCTTAAACAAGTTAGTACCTGCTGAGGTGGGATGGATTTTATCTGAATCACCAGAGCTGATGTCTTGAAAAACACACAAAACAGCCCCACACTTTGATTATTTGTAAACCACCACCGTGTAGTTAAATAGGTGCTCCATGAGTTAAGAAAGAAAGGAGTCGCAGCTCTGTGCAGGGAGCTTGAAATACAGCTTGCGAAGCTGCAGCCTGTTTTTCCCAGGCAAGACACACGGTGTAATTTTGTCCTTTTGATTACATGATGTCAGCGCATATTCCATCGCCTCCTGTATAAAGTGACACTTGACAGGCCTATTTCAATGTGTTCCGAGCCTGCGCTGGCACAGTTATTGTTTCCAAGCTCCTACGAGCAGTCGTAAGAATGGGAGTGAGTTTTGGTTTGATTACCAGGCTGGAAAGCTCTGAGGGGGCCAGGGCTGCTCCCTTCACATAAGCCTTCCCGTCAAAAGCCTCCACTTCATTGCCTTTAAAAATGTCCCACCTTTGGGAGCAGTAACCACAGTTCTTTATGGTTTCAGAAAAGAAATATGTATTAAATCACTGTGAATCCGGAGTGTAACAGACGCATGCTGGTCTCAACAGAACACGTTTCTGAGTACGAAATTGGTAGAGGGGAATTGGTGAGAAAGGGAAAGCCATTCCTGCCCAAGGGTTTGAGGAAGCTTCTAGGAAACTAAGTATCCACATGCTATTGTATCCTAGTTAACTTTTTATTACTACCTATGAGGAGTGTGTGTGAGGGAGAGAGAGCAAAGGGGGGTGAGGAACAACCAGGAACAGAAGGCACAGCAGCTTTGGAAAAGGACGATTTCTTTACAAAAGAGCCCTATTCTGAGTTAGAATCTGTGTCTGTCTTTTAAGCAACACTTCTCCCCCCAGCAATCCCAGGTCTGGTGAGGCCGAGGATAAATCATTATTACTCACAGAATCTGGTCTGTTTGTCATGAAATGGACCCTCTATAAACAGCATCAGGACGAGGGCGCACCATAGTGCATATCCCTACAACAAAGTGAATGTGGCCACTTTATGGTTATTTACTACCCCAACGAATGCAAAATTATCCTTGTTAACTTGACATTTTTCCAGGTCAGGACTTTGCCGAGTAAATATTTCTCTTCCAGCGACCAGCTGTCAAACCAGAAAGGAGGGCATGGTGGAAGTCTGTGGGGGTCATCTTCCCAAGAAGTAGAGTGCCTCTCTGGCGGGCTGACCAGCTTGCCAGGGAGACCCCCCCCTCCCCAGAGCTGCGGCCCATGGCTGTGGCCCCTAGGCACACCTCAACAAGGGTTGGGTGAGCAGAGCGTGGACTTCAGGGCTGGGCGTCTCCAAGCTTAACTCCACATTCCCTCGCTGACTCTGCGATGTTGATCAAGTCAACATCTACGAAATGAAGCTGAAAACTCCTAGGGCAGCTGTGAGAATTGCGTGGTACAGCCTATGACTGTCTGAAATACAGGAGTTCAAACACATAATTAATTGTCCCCACCTAGGAGTAATCATGTTTACAAAACAGAGGTTGCCTTATCAGTGGAGGCTCATGACTGATGGGACAGCACCTTAAAAGTCCTGCTGTCGGGCAGCAGCCTCCTGCTTCCACCCTCTCTGTTCTAGAGAAGACCTCACTACCTCCCTCTGAAAGGCAGCCCCGCCAGCACAAGCGGCAGCTCTGTTTTGAGTGATGGGGCAACCCGTGAGTCATCATTCCTTCTCCCAGTTACATCAGCACCTCCAGAGGATGTGCCCTAATGTGAATAAAGCTTAAGCTACAGGCCCTTTCATGGCAGTGGCCCATTCCCATGCCTTATGCCCAACTTAGAATTTATAATATTTATATTCTTTTGCTTAAAGGGGGACTTCTAAATTGAGTAAGTTCTGGGCCCTGAAAAATATGGGCTCACGATAACGATTGTGCCTTTGTTATTTTTCAGCTGAAGACCTGAGCAGATCGGAAATAAGACCTGAGCTTCAGGGCTCCAGCCACAAGCTTCTGCTTAAGTACACAGGCACCATCTCTGTTCTGGGCCCCATGTCCCTCCACTGCCCACACCCCCGGCTGTAAAACCCAATTAGGAGAAAGCGAACTGGGGATTCCAAAACCCCACATCTTACCAGTAGCCACAACTAAGAAGCTCATATTTTTGTCACTGTAAGGGGTAGATAATTTTCATTTAAGTATAAATATGAAATTTTTCCCCAGACTAAAAGCAAACCCTGATAATTATACAGTTGCAAATTATGGTGTTAACAAAAAAGGTCTAAATTATCTCCTTCCAGCTTCTAATGAATTCAGACGCTTAATGAATTCCCAAAACGCACTGCCTTTTCTCCATTCCAGTTTCCCCTTGCAATGGTGGAATTGTGTGGCTGTTGGAGAGAAGGGTGATTCCCATACCATCCTTCACAGTGCTATTTATTTGCCAAAGAGAAAAATTGAAAAAAGGGAGAGATTAAATTATCTTTGATCAGTGGGAATTAGTTGCAATGCTCAATAAAAACAAAAGCTGGATTTGACTCTTGGTATGGTTGGGACTTCAATGATGCAATCACCCAAATTTAGAATTTATAAGGTTGCTTTGTTCAGCTGCTTCAGCTCAGTTCTCATGTAAATGTTTGCTCTCAGGGCAAAAAACACAAAGCATCTGGACGGAATCTATTCTGGCTTCAGGAAGACAAAATGCCAACCCTGTAGAAAAACTGTCCATCTTTAAATTAAATTCAAATCCAAGCAGCTTACACCCTAACCAAAGTCTGTTTCTCTACATCTTTATAAACGACATGATTTAAGTCATCTGTGTAGTGATTCTTTTTTTTTCTCCCTTGTTCTTCACAATCTTTTGGAGTAAATGTGGTGCTTGTTAGCATGAGGAATTGATAGTTTGTTGTCATTTTCCACGGTCTTGACATTTGAGAACATTTGTAATCAAGAAAAGCAGACACAAGGAAACAAATTTGATAACTGTTTTTAAGGAATAAAAATAGAATATTAAAACAGGATTCAGAAGAAGTGCCTTTACACCAAATCTAATAAATACAGAGCTTGAAATTTTTGATTAACTACCTGTCATGTCATCCAACCCCCTTCTCCATATCGAGGAGAGCTTCTTTTCATTCACGCTTGCCCACATTACACACACACCACCATACTATTCAGAGAACAGTAACAAATTAGCTCACTAGTGTCCATTAAATCCACTGGGCTCTTAGAAATGACAGCCAGCCATTTTCCAGTCCTTGGAAAAATCCTAACGCTTTCAGAGCTCGGTCCATGTGAAATGAAAAGAAATGAAAACCTTTCTTTTCATTACGGCAGTAGTCTTCCATTTCTTCGCTACTAGAAATACCCAATTCTTACTTTGCCATATGGTTACAGAGGATGACCCAGCTTAGCTGCAAAATTTGCTGCCTTGGAGAGTATCTTCTGTATAAGCCACTTCTTCATGTCTCTCTTCACGTCGACATCTCTCTGTCCAGTGTCTGAGCTTGCGAGGCCACTATCCAGCAAGGGCCTCTCATCTACGCTCAGCTTCACGGGGGGATCTGGTTTCTCCCAGCTCTGTATTCTGTATTATCATAGAAAAACTGCCGGTCAGCATTTAATGGTGGATTCCAACAAAATATGGTGATCCTTTCAAATAAAGTTGCCTTTTTTTTTTTTCTTAACAGGGACCCATAATAGTAATAGTGCTTTAACCCAAAGAAGTGATGCCAAAATGGGAATGGCAAACAGTGGTAAGAAGAAGGGTGCCTTAGTAGGCTCCACAACACAGAAAAGCATTGCACTTCTCAAGTCACACCACCCAGGAGGCTCTTTCTGTCTGAACTTTTCACAGAATAAAGCTAGTAGGACTACAAGCATATGATATTGTTACTAAATTAGAGCTTGTCCACATTTTCTAGAGCATCCATGGTTCTTCAGTGCGCAGGAGTCTTGAATGCCAGTGCCAGAAACAGCCTGGGATGAGGAACAAGAGGGCATGAGGGGCTGCTGCTCTGTAGGGTCTGAGGAGCCCACCTTAGCACCACTCTGGAGCTCCATTATGCCTTATTTGTAAATTAGGATTTAGTCAAGTTTCATATGTAAAGAAGCATCCTGATAGGCCACCTGTATTACTCTATTTAGCTAAGCCAACAAAATTGGTGAAGACTAAGAGAAAAACCTAATTCCTCTCTCTCGGGTGAGGACAGTCCATCGGGGTTGTATCTATTTCGCACTGTTCCTAAAAGTGATCTTACACTAGAGAGCTAGTCTTCCTTCTCAAAGCTAAGAGGGGCAAGGTTCTAGAAACTCTTTATATGCGAGACATTCCTATTCCCCTCTGGGCACTGCAGGGACTATAGTTTCAGCTATGGGTATATGTAACTATACTCTTCAGCCAGGGATAGAAAAAGCAGATACACAGACCAATTCGAGCATCTAATATTGAAATTTAATCCTGGTGGACATGGAATGATTCTGATCATCACAGGATATAAGCTAACCTCAAGGCAGAAGTATTACTTTAAAATCAATTTTTAAAACTAATCCTGGTAGAGGTCTTGTGAGATAACTGTTGCCTCATGATATCTAGAAAGGGGAAAGCATATCTGCATCCCTAGTGCTTCCATGAAGTGGAGTCCATGCAAAATAACCTAGATCATTGTTTACTGTATTTATCCCCAGCTAACTTACGAAGGATGCTAAATACAGAAACCAAAGAAAGAAGGACGTCATCTAACAATACTGGAGTCTAAGGTCCCTGGGCCAGATGTCATCATTAAATTTAAAAATAACCTCACTTGACATAATTCATATTAAAAAGACTACAAACTCTTGTTTTCTCAGTTGTGGAAATTTGAAGCAAGGAGGTGGAAAGAATGAAGATAAAACTGCTAGCTGCTTCTGCGGCAGGGAGCTCTTATTCCACTC